ATAGACTGGACAAAAGCAACAACTACAATGAACAAACTTTATTAACACACTCAACACGAAAACATTGTTTTTACTTTTACCCTGCATGGACACTTGTTGGACTTGTATAGTAAAGAAGCAGAGTACAAGCCAAGAGTACACAAATAAATCTAAATAGGTTGGTTGGTTGTTTTGAAAGTTAAGCACAAAGCTACACAATGGGCTATCTGTGCTCTGCCCATCACGGGTATCGAAACCCGGTTTCTAGCGTTGTAAGTCCACAGACATACCGCTGTGCCACTGGGGAGCAAAATCCACGTAAAAGTACAAAACTTGGAAGGCTTGTAATTTAGTCTAAGTTAGGATCTTCAAACCTAAGAAACCTAGTATTCACACAGTTCGACTGGCGCTACCATTTGACAAGTAATTCTTATTACCTATATATAATAAACCTTTAAATTACATTCGACAGTAATAATATCTATACATTTTTATTTTCATTTAAATGTGCAATAAAATTTTCTTATCTATAGGATTTTGTGACAATTTATTTCCGAGTTTGACATTAATGTTTTGTAAAAAATGTTTTTTCCATAACATTTCATTGATTTATAGTTTTGTATGCACAGTAGTAATGTTCAGTTTCATAATGTTTAAATGTCAGATATTATGTCAATATGTTATAAAAAATAAATGTATATTTTTAATTTTCTACAACGTTTTTTGTAGAAATGTTTAACTGAATATATATCTTCATTCACCGATAAATACTGTTGACTGTATGTTGTTAAGCACAAAACTACACAATGGGCTATCTGTGCTGTGCCCAAAACATGTATCGGAACCAGGTTTTTAGCATTATAAGCCTTCAAACTTATCGATGAGCCACTGAGTGGGGGAGGGGAGGCAGTAAATAAAATAATGAAAATTTTGCTTTGTTAATCTGAATTGTGATTGTACATTGTATAACATTGTTGTGAGGAGAGTACTTTTATTTAAAATTGTGTTCTATTATAAAGAAATGGTTGTTTAACATACCATAGTTATTTTTTTTAATTGTCTGAATCTTGAATACCCAAAATGTGAAATTGTTTTATGGATTTTTGTTTGTGGTACCATTCAGTAGATGGCAAAAGAGTTTTGGTTACATACATAGATACTGACATACACGCTACGTCCCTTATATTTATAGTAAGAAATACTAAAGCCATTTACATGTAACGTGAACAAATACTACGAAAATACTAAAAGTAAAACCGTTCCAGTTAACGCGAACAAACGGTACAAAAATACTAAAACCGTTCATACCTAACGTAAACAAAATCTATAAAATAATAAAGCCGTTCATGTTTAACTTGAACAAACGTTACTACAACACTTAAAAGTTTAAGTTTTAAGGCTTAAGCTAAACCTTGCTCGCTTTAAGTTTAAAATGAGCACGAGTTTTATAATTATAGTCGATCAGACTTTCAACTCAAGGTGAAAATATAAAGAAAATATGTCAGAAACTGAAGGTTTCTGCTGGATACACACTGATTCACAACAGCAAAAACAGGGGAACTAAAATCTATCTTAACGGCGTTAAAACTTGTATTAATGTTATGAAAATCTGTGAAAATTCTATCCTTCCAAACACTGCCCCTAACCCTCCTCATAAATAAAGCATAAGTTAGTAACTCATTATAGCGCCTCTCTGCGTCCAATCAGGATACTACGAAAAATAACTGTTTAACTACACGGGTGGAAAGCATACAGTTCGTACCTCTACTACACTCTCACAGCAGTAGAACTTGCAAGGCTGTATATGGAGTATGCATAGTTTAACATTGCGCAAATAAATATACTTACATTAACTAACATATACTGGAAAACAGAAAAAAAAACAATAGTAAAACAAAGACAAAAAAGCTTTCCAGGTAGTGTTTTATATTTGGAAAACGAAAACATTTTTGTTTCCTCCGAATACAGACAAAATGCTACCTTTGAAATTACTTTTACATGAACCTCACAGGTCCTTGCTTTTTATTTACCACAAGTTAGCTACAGGACTGTAGAGTGTACTGTATTTAAAAAAAAATGTGCAAGCCAATATAAACACAACGTTTAATATTTAAGATTTTTTCCTGCTAAGTTTAAATAGAGGTAAAAAAGAACCCTGGCGATTAAACTACATTGAACTAGAATTATTTATTAACAAAAACGTCGCTCAGTAAGTGCCCCAATTGTTTAGAGATAAATTTAAAATATCGTTATTAGTCTTGTCCTCTTTTTCATCACACGAAGACTGGTAATTTAAAGCACTAGGCGATTATAAAGAAAGCACAGACATCTAAAAAAGAAAAAAAAAAAAACAGTTGTCCTGCCCCCTAGTGACTTTGCGGTAAGTCATCTGACTTACAACGCTAAAATTCGGATTTCGGTACCCATGGCGAGTATAGTACAGGTGTAGCTTTGTGCTCACCTACAAACAAACTATTTATCCTAGGGGAGAAAAACTTCCTCATTGTCACAGGAATAATTTTAGAAATTAAAGTTTACGTTTGTTTTTGCTATTTTTTAAACCCACCAAAGGTATTTAGTATTAAGTACTACTCATCTATTTGCTACAGTAGCAACATTAACTGAGGACTCAATATTGGCACTACAGTAATAATATTTGATACAGTAGCAACCCTGACTTAGGAGATGCTATTCGCACTGAAGAAATATTATTTGATATAGTTACAACACTAACTGAGGAGCTGCTATTGGCACTACAGGAATAATATTTTATACAGTAGCAACGCTGACTGAGGAGATGCTATTCGCACTGCAGAAATAATATTTGATATAGTTGCAACACTAACTGAGGAGCTGCTACTGCCATTAGCATTTCAGGAACAATATTTGTTGTAGTAATAACACTAACTGCGGAACTGTTATTGGCACTTCAGGAACAATATTAGTTGTAATAACAACACTAACCGGGAAACTGTTATTGGCATTTCCGGAACAATATTTGTTGTAGTGACAACGCTAACCGGGGAACTGTTATTGGCATTTCGGGAACAATATTAGTTGTAGTAACAGCACTAACCGGGGAACTGTTATTGGCATTTCGGGAACAATATTAGCTGTAGTAACAACACTAACCGGCGAACTGTTATTGGCATTTCGGGAACAATATTAGTTGAAGTAACAGCACTAACCGGGTAACTGTTATTGGCATTTCAGGAACAATATTTGTTGTAGTAACAACACTAACCGGGGAACTGTTATTGGCATTTCAGGAACAATATTTGTTGTAGTAACAACACTAACCGGGGAACTGTTATTGGCATTTCAGGAACAATATCTGTTGTAGTAACAACACGAACCGAAGAACTGTTATTGACATTTCAGGAACAATATTTGTTGTAGTAACAACACGAACCGGGGAACTGTTATTGGCATTTCGGGAACAATATTTGTTATAGTAGTAAAACTAATTGAGGAACTGCTACTGCTGAATACGTATGCTTGCCTACTAATCACAATCAAGACACCAGCTTATAGTAGAGGAGTCCAGCTGCACCAGGCTTCAACCCAAGCCATGAGGCCTCTCTGTAATCTTCACACAGACATTTATAGACAACTCAAATACTGAAACAGAGGAAGCTAATGATTTTTTTCTATTTGACCATAATAAAGTACAATGCGTCTAGTATGAAGGCAAAACATACATGTTTACCTTGCAAAGACTACACATAAGTTACTTTGTTTTGTAGACTATATTCCTATGTTTACCTTTGCTTACGATATAAATTGTTTCAATATTTTTTGTACAAAAATAATAAGTCTGATACTACGCAGATGCTATTACTTGTATTTTCAGCTCATTTTTTTCTATTGATTAGCGATAATTCTTTTAGTTCTATAGTTTAAAATATGGCGTATGGAAACAAGCAACATCTCTGCTTTACTTATTGTTTATGTTATCATTAAGGTCAGATTCAAGGTCAAGGGGTGTTTTTAACTATTAACACAGCAATATACTTATTGGATAACTTAGCCCTAGATCCTATCTCTTCGTACAAATAAACTCTCAAGTATCTTTCAGACAAACGTGTTCTATGTATTGAACTTTGTACCGGGAATGTTTATCATAAATATTATGCTTAACAGTTCAAGACGCTTTAGTTGTCGTTTAGGTTCATATCAACGACAGAAAACTCTTGGTAAGTAGTTAATTAACAAACGACTAGAGATTACGTTTTTGATGTATTTAATTTAGTAATTTTGTTCAACATCTAGAAATAACTTGGCATATTATAAATAGTTCACCAGCGTGAATCTGTAATTTATCTTAAACAAGAAATGCCACTTGGCCTGTTCTGTTTTCAAAAAAATGTGTCCTATCTTTTTCGTTGGTTTGTACAGAGGTTGTTACATATAAAACAAACGAAAAGCTTTGTATTTTAAAAACGGCCAACACTAGATACTGAAGGTCGTTTCATTTGGAAGATTATTGGAGATAGTTTCCTGCAAATTAACTATTTAAATATGCTTGTTTAGAATATTCGTGCAAAGTTACACCAGCAATATCTGCCCTATGTGTCTTTAATTTTGAACTGATAGACTAGAGAGAAGGCAGTTAATCAACAGCACCAACCATCAACTCTTGGGTTACTCTTCCCGAACAATCGGATTTGGCTGCGATTTTGCGACAACGGTACGTGAATTATGGGCCTTTGGATTCACAATCCGGCACGCTAACTACTAGGGAACGCCCGATTCATGCCATTAAAAGTTATTGTACTTCACAGATACATTATTTCTGTTAGAGTTTAGTACTTTTCGAGCATAAATGACTTGTGTTTTCATCCGAATACATTGAATAAAAATCTTATCAAAATAAATAACAGTAAACTAAATTGGTTCACTGTGTGTATGTGTGTGTTTTACATGTTACTGAACAGTTAGAATACTTTACTCTATTCAGATAAGAAAATATAATGTTTTACAGCAACAATTCAAAGTGGAAACACCACCAAAAGCTCACGTTTTTATTTCTTAGAATAGAATGCATGTACTAATTAGCCTTTCAGGTATTCAATAAGAAGTTGTCCATTCATAACGACAAGTCCAACTAACTGTTTGATTATTTTTTTCAATATGTAAGCGGCATATAAAACTAATGAAAAGACGGCATTAAAAAAATCTTTGACTTTCTTGCCATCATGGACATTCAAGATAGGGTTTTTATGTTAGTGCATTGAGTAACAGGGCAATTAGAAATACATACTCGAACAGTAAAATAAGTTCTAACTACAAAATATATATGTATTAAAAACTTAGAAATGGATAAGACTATGATAAATCGATTAGTGTTTGTCTGTATTGAAAGGTTCCAACATTCATGTATCTATATCTATATATATATATACACACATCCCAGCATTTTTTGATAATTTGTATGGAAACAAATTAACTGTCGTCCATTCACCTGTAGGGCAACTACTGAATCAAAGTAAGTAAATTGTTTATTTTTCGTTTTCAACTTTTTGTTGTTTTTTTAACTTTACGTTCTGCACTTGTTTCTTTAAACAAACAGTATAAAAGATGAAGCTGGCACCTTGTTTCGTCGTTCTGGCCTTTCTGGCAACAGCTTATTCATTAAACAATGGACTGGCTGGAACCCCTCCCATGGGGTGGTTGTCATGGGAACGATTTTTGTGTAACGTCGATTGTGATCACGATCCACAAAACTGCATCAGGTAGAATATTTTTATACATCTATCTAGTTAAAAAAATGAGTTTTTAACATCTAGCTATAAGTTGTTAAAAACACATTTATTACATCATTTAAATTAAGTATACACACGCACACACATATATATTTACAACGAAGAAATCCTTTAAAAGTATTTCAATCTGAAAAACAAATTGTTAAAGTTGTTTGTTTTAGAACATAATTAATAAATCACACACATTTCCTGTTATTAATCATTTCTATAAAAAAACAAGAATTGAGAACAGAGCCGTGAGGGATAAGAAGAATACAGTTACTGTACGATATATATATATATATAGTTTATTAGATATTTTGCCAGTACCTATATTAACATTATTATAGCAGTAGTTATGAGTGTTGTAAATAATACTATTATTGTAATCCTAGATACAGAGTTATAAGTAAGAGTTATTACCCAAAAAGTTACATTGTACTGTATATACTATCATTAGTATATTTAGTCATCGTCAGCAAAAATTATTATTATTTATCGTATAATTAAAATCCAAACAGCGTTACTTTTTCTTTTTTATTTAAATTTACTGTAAAACAGTACAAAATATTGAAACGAAGTTGCATGTTTGAGTTTACCAAAAAATAATAGATCTTGCTATTCTGAGATTCAATTCATTCAATAAGGGTTCGAAAATTTTAAAACCATCAGTATTCTGATAACAATATAGTTCATTATGTGTATCTGTTGCAGTGAACGACTGTACAAAGACATGGCGGACCGATTAGCACATGACGGGTTTAAAGAGCTAGGATACGAATACGTTAACATTGATGACTGTTGGTCGGATAAGAGTAGAGACCCCAATGGTCAGTTGGTTGCTGATCCGAAACGTTTTCCCAGCGGTATTAAGGCCCTAGCCGATTATGTAAGTGTTTTCATTTTTTTTATTCATTTTTCTAAAGCATTTTGTGATTATCATTTGCAACTCAGTTTAACGCCCAGTCTGCAAGTCGAGACATCTGCAATTCAGTTTAACACTCAGTCTGCAAGCCCGGGAGATATTTTTTGGTTGGTTGATTCCCAAACAAAGCTTTCCGGTTTAAAAGTGTGACCCCAGTATCAGATCTTGATGACGATGACTGTATCCGAAGGGGAGGATTCAGTTGATGAGGAAGATGATCCTGATCAATGAATGCGTCAATGCACATTCATCGTGGGGTATTTTGACGAGTGTCACAATCACTTCACAAACTCAACTGAGTCTGCGACGCCGGTGAAAAGCACAGGTGAAGCCACCAGGTAATGAAGAACAGTGAGAAATATTAGTTTCCATGCATTCAAAAGAACTCCTTCCTTGCGCCAGTCTGATGAGCTTAGGGTTATTAAGATAGAAAATATGCAAAAGACGTATATGACGCTATTCCATATTATTACACACCAACAGTTTCATTCCCAAATGGCTGAGCTGAAAGACTTAGGAAAGAAAAAATGTATGGTCGAAAGAATATCACTGAGTTTAGAGAGGTCATCAAGCAATTGCTTGAACGTGGTCAACACAACTAGTCTCGGAAGAATGGTGGAAGTCAAATGCTGGAATATTTTGTGATAAAAATATTCATGGAGATATGACCTACCTAGCAAGAGTGAATTCTGCAATGAGATCATGTAACTGAAAGATATAGCTAATGTAGTCCTGATTTTCCCATATTCACTTCATCTAGTGTTGTGTTTTTACAGAAGCTGCTCCATTCTAGAGTGACGATGAAGCTTGTTGACGCACTGACGGCATTCAGAAAAAAGTTTAAGAAAGAGCAAGAAAAAGAAGAGGCTAGTTCCAACCAGCATATCAAATAAAAGATGAGTTAGCTAAAGTGTGGAGTTTAAAAGTGTGAGGTAAAGCTACTTTGTCGCCATTCCTATGGCCTCCTGAAGAGATTGTTTGTCTGATGAGAAATCGATAGAGTGATATATAAAAATGTTTGGATAGTACTGAATTTCGTAGTTCCCTTTCGCGACAATGTGTTCAAAAGAAGTAGCATGTACACTCATCATTTGTCTTTGATGTGATGGTTTCTGTTCGGATTCATAGACACATATTCGCCAAGTCGGTTGCAGGAGCTATAGTATGTGAAGGATAAAATATCAGTAGCAATGGTAGCTACAGGAGAGTAGCTTGATTATAAACAGGAACGACAATGGCAGTAGCAGGAGTAATACCAGGGCAGAAGCCAATCAGTGTTTTTATCTATAATTTAGACCAATTAGGATTTCGGGACTGGCATGTACTTTTAAGGAAGCTAGTAATGAAGATGTGCAATTTTTATATAGAGTTTGTAGGTTGGAGAAGTTGGAGGCTATCATAATTAATGTAGAGGTAATAGATAAAGAAAAGTGTAGACTGTGGGAAATGGCAGCAGGATTTCAAAAGGAGTAAGTTTTTACATATAAGGAATACATCAGCTAACAATGACCCTCAGGAAGCTAGAAAGAGTACTATTAGGACTAAAAGTAGTGAATTTAATTGTAATAAGCCTATTTTACTGAGCAACAAATTTCAGCCCTTGGTTTTAGCAGACGAGGAACTATTGTGAACAGTGATCATGAACTGTGAGACATCTCTATCAACAACATGAACTGTATATCGAACAGTCATCATGAACTGAGACATCTCCATGAAC